AAAAAAAGAGCGAGGCTGGATGTATCACAGTACCCAGTTTCATATTATACTACAAAGTCATAATAACAAAAACAGCATGAGTATGACATGGTGGAGTATACATATAAAATCAGTAGGCTGAGGCAGGAGGATTACAAGTCTGAGGCCAGCCTGGGCTATGTAGTGAGTTTAAGGTTAACCAAGACTACCTAGAGATGCTGTCTCAAACCGCTCCCCCAAATAAATAAATAAATAAATAAATAAATAAATAAATAAATAAAACAAAGAATAGAATAGCATAGTACTCTGAGGCAAGAAGATTGTTACAAGTTCAAGACCAGCATGGGCTACAAAGTGAACTCAAGGGCTGCCTGAACTGCGTAATGAGACCCTGTCACAAGAAGACAAAACAACAAAAAACCCTGAAAAACAGCATGGTAGAAACATAAAAAGACACACACACATACACACACACATACAAACACAAAACTGAAAAGAAACAAACGTGCCCAAAGACAGCCATCAATTTTTTTGAGATAGGGTCTCACTATGTACTTCAGGTTGTCCTTATACTCACTGTGTATATAGTTTGAGCTAGCCTTTCACTTGCAGTGATTCTTCCACCTCAGCCTCTCAAGTGCTAGGACTATTGCTGTGCATCACCATGCCAAACCAGCCATCAATTTTTGACAAATAAGCCAGAAACATACACTGGAGAAAAGACAGCCTCTTTAACAAATGGTACTGGGAAAACTGGATATCCATGTGTAGAAAACTAAAACTAGATCCCTGTATCTTCTTTCTAAAAAAACAAGAGGCTGGTGTGGTAGCACACACATATAATCCCAGTACTCAGAAGGCCAAGAAAGGCACACAAACAAATAAAACAACACTGATAACTACAAAGTCAATTCAAAGTGGATGAAGGACTTAAGTATATGACCTGAAACTCCTGCAAGGATATAATTTAAAAAAAAAAAAGAATATATTTTAAGCTGGAGAGATAGCTCAGTGGCATAAGTACCTGCCTGGCAAGCACAAGGTCCTGAGTTCGATCCCCGGTTCCAGAACAACAACAACAGCAACATTTCCTCTCAGCAGATGTGGAGGCACAAGCTTGTAATCTCAAAATATTTAGAAAGTTAAGGCAGAAGAACTGCAGTGTTTGAGATCAGCTTTTAATATATAACAAGTTCAAAGCTTCACTACAGTGATACCTTCTCTCAGTAAAAACCAAACCTAAACAAAAATCTCTCAAGGGGACCTGCAGTGAACATTTTCTTGCATACCTACCCCAGAGAATTACCACATGCTCAACAATAAAGGGTGGATTTCTCCCCTGCTCTAGTTTATCCTTCACAATAGGCAAAAATGGTCTGATTATTTAAAAAAAAAAAATTTAAAGGATTTCAGCAACAAGAGTTCAACACACAGTAACAGGGAATGACTTATCGAGAAACTTCTACAGCTAAGTCTATCTTGCAAAGCAAGAACTAGGCTTACATTCTGAATATAAAATAGAAACTATTAATTAAAACTGTGTAGTGGGCTGGCCAGATAGCTCAGCGGTTTAAAGTGCCTGCTTAGGCAGGGTTGGATTCCGGGCCTGCTATGCCGGCCCTGCCCCTGGGGTGCGCTGAGAGGGTGATAGACACTGAGTGTGGCAGCATGCGCCTGCAACCCCAGTGCTTGGGAAGCTGTGAACAGGAGAATCACTACAAGTCTGATCTGTGTAGTGAGACCCTATAGGTCCTGTACTAAATACATTAAAACAAACAACAAAAAAATGTGTAATAAGTGAAAAAAACCAAAGATTTGGAGAAATCAATACCTTTATTCCTTAGAAAATCTTCAGGGAGGCCCACATGTAAAAGTTCTTTGCTTGACTTCATCAGGAGGTTCTCCTACAATAAGAAAATCCAGCAGTAAAAGAAGATTCACAGATATTTGAGCTGACAAATGGTAATTATTCTTTGAAAGGCTTTCTTATGACTCCAGGTAATTTGCTAGTAATAGGATCTGGAAGAAGAAGAAACCTCCAAGTAAGTATAATCAATAAAAACTTTCACTTTTTTAGAATTTGAGTTTGGAAAAATCATTTGTCAGGGTCTGGATAACAACAGAGATTTAAAACGTCAACCTGCAGCCATAAAACCCTACAAACACCAAAATGAAAAAACAAAATGCTGCAATATAATTCTGATTTTATCAGAAAACCAGATATATTTCAGTCTCTAAACATTCTAGGGATCAGAAATAAAAATTTTCCACAACCTAAGAGGTTTTTTTTTTTTTTTTTTTTTTACCAGGGATTGAACTCAGACCCTTGCACTTGCCAGGCAAGTGCTCATTCCACTGAGCCATCTCCTTGGCCCCTATTAAGAGTTATTTTACTCCTTTTCACCAGAGAAGGTGGAATATTACCAATGATAACCAGCTGATGTCTATAGGAGAACTTCACAGACTAAATGGGTGAAGAGGAAGTATTTACTTATCATAGAAAGAAAATGAGATTAGAAAGATCACCATTTGGCAACCATCACAGTTACAATCATCTCAGTGACAATCATTATTTGTTAATAGTGGTTAAAAGTTTATTTAGAGTCTCCCAGTACCTCCTCATAAAATACTTACTAATTATAAGTGGGAAAACAATAAACTGAAAATGGAGAAAACTGATAGCTCCAAGTGATACATATTCTTCCCTGAAAGAAGGTAACTCAAAACCATATACCTCCTACTATAATCCACTAAGGAGAACCAACTTCTTCAGTAGTATTCCTGCTCCCAAACTACGTTTACCAAACCTATCATATGGAGACACCAGGAAAACCAAAATTAGGGAAATTCTACAAAACAAATGGCCTGTACTTTTCAAAAGTATGAACAGGGAACTGCTTATTTCAGATTAAAGTAAACTAAAGAGACATGACAAGTGAATGATATATCACAATAAAGTGATCTTGCATTTATCCTGGGTCAGAAAAGACAGATACATCTCTTCTTTTTCTACAAAGAGAACTACAGTACAACTGGCCAATTTGAATATGGTCTGTGGGTTAGATATCATACTTAGATCAGTACAATCATTTCTTGATTCTGATTAACATATGATGGTCATGTAACAGAATGTTCTTGTTTTCTGGAAAATACACACTAAAGTATTTACGCATCATGTCTATTACTATACTCTTTAGTTATTCAGGAAAAAATTTTAATGTAATAAGTCAACATGAAACAAATCTGAAAGGAGGGTATATAGGAATTGTCTGCATTATTTTCCAATTTTTTTTTGCTTCAAATTATTTTTTAAGGAGTAAGAAAACATTTACTTGTTATATTTGATCCTTTCTCCAAAATGATCATACTCTCCGCTTTTCTAGTTCTAAGGCCAGATCTACGAGTTATGAGAATGGAAGTTATTTAGAATATTCTTTTTAAGTTAATAATTTACAGAAAAGATAGTGCTAGCATAAAAGATTAGAAATCAGAGCTCTGTTCCAACCACAGGACTTCCACCTATCACCATGGTGTTAAGAACAATTTTACATGTGGTTTTAAGAAAAAAAGTGTATCAGTTGGGCATGGTGGCACATATCTGTAATCTTAGCACTAAGGAGGTTGAGCCAGGAGGATCACTGAGAGTTGGAGTCCTGCCTGGGCTATATAGTAAGTTCAAGGCCAGCCTGAGCTACAAAATAAGACCCTGTCTCAAAAAGAAAAGAGAAAGGATACCACATGAAATAACTATTAAGACACTTTTCAGGATAGAGTGGTCTACAGGCAAACACTTCTGTCATCTGTTATTCCTTTCTGTGACAAAAGCCTATAGGTGTGGTGCCCTGTAATCCCAGCACTTGGGAGGCTGAGACAAAAGGACTAAAAGTTCAAGGCTAAGCCTAGATTACTTACTCAGATCTTGTCTCAAAAAATAAAACAATATCTAAAGAAGGGGAGAATGCCAACAGGGCTGTCACTAGCAGATTCTGGTATGCTGCCTGAACTTTTTTGGAATGAAGTTTGGTTAGTGACATACAGGTTCCTCCAGATTTTAAAAGTTCTCTGTGAAATACACAGTTACCCTTTTGGGTTGCAGTCTGGAGAGGGGCTGCTGGGATTATAGTGGTTCATACACAGCACAGAAATGTTCCCAGCTGGAGCCCCCAAAAAACACCCTAGTAGGGTACAAGGCACACTGCTTTAGTTATGTCCCTTTCTCTTTGGTTAGGATTTTTCTTTTCCTTTTTCATTTTATTATTACAAAAAATTTTTTACTTGTACATTTTTCCAATTGGAGTCTTACTACAGTCTAAACTAGCCTTGAACTTGCCATGTAGCCCAGAATGGCCTTGAATTAATTACCCTCCTGCCTCAACCTCCTGAGCTCTAGGATTATAGGTGTTTGTTACCATTGCCTTTTTTTTGTTAGGATTTCTCATCAGGAAAGGGAGAAGAAGAATCTAGGAATAAGTTATTCCACTTGCTTCCTGCCTTAGTAAGCTCTCTTAAAAGATTCTGAGTTAATAAAAAACCAAGTTATCCTACATAGGAAGGTTGGAGACAAGGCTTGAGGTCTCAAATAGGATTAGGAGTTGAATGGACCAGCAAAGAACATGTGAGGCTGAGGTAAGATGTGAGGGCCTCCCCCACCATCACCACCATGGCCTCTCAACACCATCACTCCCCATTAGGTGGGAGGTCTACCAATTTGGGTCCCTGAATCTGGATGAAGGGGAAACAGAACAATCTATTTCTGTACAACAGACATAGTAATGCATACTAATTCTTTAGGGCCAGTGAGATAGCTCAGCGGCATAAGTGCCTGCCTGGTAAGTGCAAGGTTCTGAGTTTGTTTTCTGGTATTAAAAAAAATGTAGCCAGGCATGGTGATGCAAGCCAGTAATCTCAGTACTCTGGGAGGTTGAAGCAAGTGGATCACAGGTTCAAGCCCCTACAGCAACATAGTGAGATCCTGTCTCAAATATAAAAAGTGATGCCAGGTGTAGTGGCACACACCTGTAATCCCAGCACTTGGGAGGCTGTGGCAGGAGGACTGCTGTAAGTTTGAGGCCAGCCTGCAATACAAAGTGACTTCAAGTCCCCCTTGAACTGCACAGTGAAACCTTGTTTCAAAAGAGACATAAAAATTATATTAAAAATATAAAATATAAGCCAAGGCTGAGGATACAGCTCCACATGAAGGCCCTGAATTTAATCTCCAATACTGCAAAGGGGAAAAAAAATCCTTTATGTCCCTTCCACTGCCCTCAAAGTTAGCTAAACATACAATGAATAGTCACAAAAGTTTATCAGATATACTTGCTCTAATACATATTTTATCAGCTAAATATTCTAACTTGCTAAATTCTTAGACACAAAAGTCCTAAATATCTCTCTACCACTTAGATCTAACTAATTCTCCACATCTGAGCAACATACTGTTTCCTGCAAAATGTATCTTGAGGAATCGGGCAAGACAAATGTTCCTCATATGGATCTTCCTTTGAGATCAAATGAGGTATCTGCTATAGCTTACAGCATTCCCTATACTAACATTAAGAAATGTCATATAATAACTCAATTTGCTTTTCAAATTGACTATACTAATTCTCTGCCTCATGCATTCAGCTTATAGGGCCGGCCAAATAGCTCTGCGGATTAAAGCACCTGCAAGCAGGCACAGGGGCCAGGGTTCAATCCCTGGGCCTGCCACGCTGGTCCTGCCCCTGGGGAGCTCTGAAACAGCAATTGCGACTGGGCGTGGTGGTGCACGCCTGTAATCCCAGCTCTGGGGAGGCTGTAAACAGGCGAATCACTGCAAGTCCAATCCAGTAGTGAGACCCTGAACATCCTGTAGACCCTTCCCTAAAATACAAAGGAAAAAAAATACATCCAGCATATCACTCACCTACTCAGTGTTTTGCAAACAAAATTAATGAAATTTCTGTAGTTTTGGCAGATTCTAGGAGGGTCTTGAAAACTATTCTTAGGGCCAGCCAGAGAGCTCAGCGTACTAAAGTGCCTACTTAAGCAGAGTGCAGCAGCTGGGGTTCCATCCCTGGTGTGCCGTGCTGACTCTGCCCTGGGGCACGCTGAGACTGGGCATGGTGGCTCACACCTGTAATCCCAGCATTTGGGAGGCTGAAAACAGGAGAATCACTCTGAGTCCGACCTGCATAGTGAGACTCTGTAGATCCTGTAAACCCTGTACTAAATACACACACACACACAAAGAAAAACACACCATTCATACTGTTTATCTGTAGCCTTATTACAAATCCCATTAAAGGGGCCTGGGAGATAGCTCAGTAGAATAACTTGAGTTCAATTCCTGGTTCCACCAAAAAAAAAAAAAAAAAAAAAATCCATTAAAACTCGTTTGTATGTTTTGGAAACAATGCAATTTTCTAATTCATTCCCATGAGTTTAGAGCAGAAAAATACACAAATATCTGGAGAAAAGTAAATACGTATCAGGTCCTTCAGCTCTTATAAGCAGGGAAGTTTCAAACTCCTCAGGGCCTCTTATAACCAAGACCCTATGTGCTTATTCAAACCTAAGTCTCCTGAGCTGGAGGGAGAACCAGATCAGTAAGGAAAGGGCAGTGATGGGCCCATCTACAGATGAAACTGCCAATATACTATCTATGCCAGAAGAGAGCCAAACGTGCAGCAGAGGAGATACTTCCTACTTCCTGACATTTGCAGAAGTACATGGTTACTTTCACAGCCAAGAATACTCTGAAGTGAGAGTGTAAAAGAAGGTAATAGGGGATGAGTATGACCAAAATATATGCACAGAAACCTAATTTGTATAAAATTAATAGGCGCTAATAAAGAATATTCTGAAGAGAAATGTTTATATATCTAGATGTAACATTCAGTTTCTTACACTTGCACATCTA